TTTATAAATTGCATATTAGTCCCAATTGTAAATTAAACAAGCATCCAAAATTTGCAAATAGTCACTGCAGAGTATTATTTGGAAAATATAGCCCACAGACCAAAAAATTACATCTGCATATGCAAAACCAACACAGCCTGTGACTTTAACAGAATGGCGATAAAACTCACATATCAGATTCAGAGTAAGAATATGTTCTAGGAAGAAAATATGAAAAAAAGAAAAGAAAAAAGAGAAGTTAGAATCTTATTATTCAATTCTACAATTGGAATCATAATATGAAATCCCTCATCAAAACGATAACCGTCGAGATGTATCAACGGTTATAGATCGTCTAACAAAGGCAGCGATGGTCGTGTGCAGAGAGGCGGCGAGTGTGTACAGGGTAATAACGGCAGCGGGCGTATACAGTGCGGCGACGGCGGTTGAGAGCAGTAGGTTTGCGGAACGGTCCTTATCCGTCGGTTTTCGGCAAGTGTAGCTCGGATCTCCAGGTCGGCGGCCACTGTCTTGAACTGGGACGGCGAAGATGGTGGGTGGAGAGAGCGTGCGTCTGCAATATTTTCCGGTTGGCATCGCTGGAGAAGACGACCTTCTCGTCGTCGGAATGGAGAGGCTGGTCGGCGGATGCAAATAAAAAGCGGCGACAAGCGTTTCTGTCGAGATCTGACCTGTGTGTCGCCGTTGTATGTGTATTTGAGAGAGAGAGAGAGAGAGAGAGAGAGAGACGACTGGATGGTTGGGGAGGGTGAAGAAACGATTTAATTGAGGAGTGGGGTCCAGTGAAAATTTGGTGTGTTATTTAATGTCTATTATACCCTTATTGTATGTAGAAAAGCTGATTAATTTTTTACCGTTAGATGATGAGATCTTGTGGATAAAATTTATTCTCATTTCTTTCATTGAACACCATTCTCACTGGAGCGCGACCCTATATATATATATAAATATATATATGTATTATATATATCTTGCAATTTTTTAGATTTGTTGTCAGTTACCTTATCGTTCAAATTTATCAATTAATCTGTAGAATTAAATTATATTAACCAATGTTTGTTCAAATATCATTATAATTTTCTAGAGGAATATATCAATTTGTCGAATTATCATCAAGATATTATGGCAAATTATTATGTGAATATGCTAAATTTTAAGAATCACATCACCTTGATTTTATAAGAGAGTGGTTCATCCATATTCTATTTCACATTCTAATCAACCAATTTGGAGATGAGAGA